CTCCAGTAGTTTGAAATGTTGCTTGTGCCAGGGTGATGGTCACATCAGAAGTTGGTGACAAAAGGCAGGATTCCTGAGATCTATATGGGACGGTAGAAGGGGACACCTTCTGCGTTTGAGAAAGATAAGGGCCATAGCAGGATGGACTTCATCCCAAGTGTGCTTGCGGTGCTGAAAGTAAAGTTGTGAAGGGTTCCCAAGAGGTAACAGCTGTGGCTATATTGAATCCCAGCACTATATGCCAAAAAACCAGCGTGCATATTTGGGTTGTGCAGGACATCCTGTCTTACCACTATCCAGATCACCGTCTTATGGTTGTGTCTTGCCAGAGCTGTACTCAAAATGGGGATGGTAGCCAAGTGGTAGAGGTACCTGTAAGTGTTCTTTTTCCATTGCAATGGAATTGCAGGTCTTCAGAAAGGACACAATGTGGGAAAATGGCTGCTGCATAAGTGCTGTCTGTAATTAAGGTCCATTGCTGTAAGTATGTAGCAGCTGTGGTGTAGCTTGAGGCTTTTATACTTTGGTACTGTTAGTTTGTATCTATATTATAGAACGAAGGGGAAGTGAATTCCCCCCTGGTTCTACCTTTTTTCTTGGGAGGTGTGTATGCCATAGTAGCTATAGTAAGGGACATGCTAAGATAACCACAGGGGGTATTTCTGTATTTATTCATTTCAGACTCCAAGCCTTTCCAGATATTTTCTTGGGCTGAAATAGCCTGTTTCTGATGTCCACTCACAAATTATCCTGTAATAAAACCAGCAAAAAACCCAAAAGCTGACCTATGGAGATTTTAAAACAGATTTTCCCACTTGTGGTCTACCCAAATGATCCCTTAGCTCAACACAAACATCTGTGACAAGGAGCGTGAAACTGAACTGGGGGCTGTCCTTGCTATATCTGCTCAGAAGGAGAAGTACCCATTAATTTGAAATTAATTGAAGATGATGATAAAATTTAATAATGTTAATAATTAATAAATTAATTTTAAATGTAACAATAAATTTAATAATGAAGATTATTAAAAGCCGGGAACGTGTTTGTGGGAGGCTAATTTACTGGTTCCCTCTCCCGAGAGCCTCTGTCCTGGCTCCAAGAGCAGAAGGCGCCCGGGCAGCGCTCGGCGATGGCCGCAGGTGCCGTTTCCCGGGGAGCGGGCGCCGCTCCCCC